AACCACAGAACTCTCATTCAGACGAAGGCTTTAAGCATGGGGCAAAACTATTAACAAGGCCACGCCATTTATTGGACTTCATTCCTCTTCTAGTGTTCCCTTCATACTCCGTGATCCAGCCCAGGACCCTAAACTGCCCTAGTTCCAGGGCCAATACAAATGATATCATTATTCTGTCTCCTCTGCATCCTCCACACAGCTCATCGGTCTCCAGGACGCCGAGCCTGAAGAGTCCCGATCAGTTACCGCACAGGATGCTCTTCAGTATGGCTTCAGCTGATGTTCGCTCGTGGTCAGATGGTGGTGGCGGGTCACTGCGAACACAGGGCTCTGCTCCATGTGCTGTGTCAGATAACACAGATGCAACATGTCCCACAGTGAGGTTAGCTTTGTTCTCTTGAGCAACGTGGTGTCTGCCGGAATGTGCCTCTGTGATCATTTTTTTTCATAACTAACAAATTGTTATCATTTTCTGGAGTTGCTGGAGTTTGAACCTGGTCCTCACATGTGCTAGGTAAGCATTCTCTGATTGAATTATACTTCCGGCCCTAACTACCAAATACTTTAACAGCCACTCCTTGACACTGCAAATACACTATTTTTGCTTAAACTTTTACATCGTTAATTTTAATATTCATTGATGGATCTTGCCTGTGCTTATCATTAATCTTGTGTCTCACACACACACACACACAAACACACACACACAACATATACAAAGTGTAGGAAACAAAGCACAAAGAGAAAGTACAGAAAGAGCCAAAAGGAACACTATGTTCTCAAGAATTAGGGAAAAGACTACAGCACCGTTCTTATTAGGAACCATACAAACCAGAAGACAGCCATGTGGTCGTATCTGAAGGGATAAGTTATTTCCTAACACCTGGCAGCACAGACTTCTGTTGGTCAGGAGCGTTTCCAAAAGCAGGGCCGGAAGGCAAGGAGACGGTGTAGCAGGTAAAGGGCTGTGTGCAAGAGTGACGGCTGGAGTTTGGGTCACCAGCATGCACAGAAGTGCTGGGCAGGAATGTGGCCCACCTGACACCTAGTGCTTAGGAGGTAGAGAAAGGCCATCCTTGGAACAAGCTCACTAGCTGAGCTAACCACATCTGTGAGCTTTGGGTTCAAGTGAGAGACCCAGCTTCCATATATAGGTGGAGAGCAATTAGGACGATGTTAGACATTGACCTCTGGCCTCTATATGTACACACATCCACATGCATGGGAACACACACACTCACACAGACACTCACACACATGTACAGAGAGAGGAGGTGAAGCAAAGACTTTCATCAGACAGAACACAACTGAAAGAATTAATTCATTGCCATCAAAAGGAATGCTACAGAAACTTCCCAACCGTTTTAAAACAAAGCAAGATGGGAGGAGAAACATTTCTGTGTAGAAGAATTGTAGCTGATATCTGTGGGTAGAATTAGAGCAATAGAGAATCACCATCAGAACATGGAAGTAAATAATTTCCAGACATATTCTCAGAGTCCTGTCAACGCAAACCTCGGCTAACTGGCCCATAGAATGTATTTCAGAAAAGGCTAAAGAGAATTTGAAAATAAGGACCTCCTACTCCACAGTATGGTTATGAACGTCAAAATATTGCAAATATGAGTGAGTAAGCTTCAAGATATTAAAACTGTGTGTGTGTGTGTGTGTGTGAGAGAGAGAGAGAGAGAGAGAGAGAGAGAGAGAGAGAGAGAGAGAGAGAGATGCTGTTTCTAAAGCATTGTATTATATCAAATGGTCTGACTAGGTCAGCAGATACTGGAAAGCTCTCTGGACTAGACACAGGGATTTGGGGGTGGCGGCATGGGAGGTGGTAGACTAAGGTAATACCACTGAACAACAGAGGAAGCAGTCAGAGCCTTCCTGATGCTCTGACCCTCTAATACAGTTCCTCATGCTGGGGCAACCACCAGCGCAAAATCATTTTCACTGCTACTTTGTAACTGCAGTTTTGCTACTGCTGTGAATCATAATGTAAACATCTGTGCTTTCTGACGGTCTTAGGCGACCCCTAAGAAAGGGCCATTCGACCCCCAAAGGGGTTTCAACCTACAAGTCGAGAACTGCTGATTTAAATGCTATAGCAAGCAAGGGGTGCCAAGTGCTACAACCCTGCCCAGTCTTTCCTGGAGGAATGTTATATGCCTCCTCTCCTGAAAACAAGCAGGCCACTGCCCACACAGTTCCCGAGGATCCTGACGCCTTCCCCGGCCGGCACCTAATTGGATCCTCCCACCAGCTTGCAGAGGAAGCTAGCCTTCCTGGCATTACCACAGAGATGGGGCTCAGTGCAGTAAGAGGCTGGCTCACCCCCTCTCATACTGGGGTTCCACACCTGGTGTTCTCATAGGCAGAGCTGCTGCTCACACACTGGCCTGACCTCAGAAACAGTACTTTGTTATCTCTGTGTTATTCCAGATGCGGACACCAAGGGTACGGGCAGAGTGTGAGATGACGTTAAGGGCCTTCAGGTGTGGAATTCACGCAGAATCCCAAGGTGAGGGTCACTTCCTTCCCAACTCTCTTCTGGTCCCTTTGGCTTCATCGTGGAACAAGCCTGACGCAGGTGTGCCCTACCATCTCCTGATACGTTGTCTGTTGTCACTTAGAAAATGGGAAACGACAGAGGTTTTTCTTTTGGTGCACGTGTGTTTGTATGTGGGTGAGTGTGGCGTGGAGGTCAGAGGACCACTTGGAGCCAGTGTGGGTCTTGGGGATTGAACGCAGATTGTCAGGCTTGGCAGCAAGCCTTTACCCCCTGAGCCATCTCACTGGCCTTTTGTTTTGGGACAGGGTCTCACGTGGTCTCGGCTGGCCTGGAACTTACTACGTAGCCAAAGATGGCCTTGGGCTCTGGATCCTCTCGCCTCAGCAGGCACCACCGCAGCTACCTAGTCCCCCTTTTTTTTTTTAAACAGAGAAAATCCTTCAGGCTTCGAGCCTTTGCTAGGATACAGGATCTGGATAGAACTAAATAACACAGTCTGAGCTTTCCTTCATTTCCCCTCGTTTCTGGATTTCCTATTTATAGCAAGTGCTTACAGGCTTTCATTTGGTATGACAGTCTCTTTGAAAAACAGAATGAATTATAAGCAGAGTTGATGAGAACGCCAAGGCGACGGAAGCATGGGGTCCTGCCACGGTTCAGGCAAGCCACGTGGAATGACACTCACAAGAGACACAGGCAGGGATGCCGGGTCACATTCCTGGGCCACAGAGAACCCAGGACCCTCTAGACAAAGCCTGAGATCATCATGGTGGGGAGACCCTAAACCCCTGACACAGGATCCTGGGCCACTTGCAATGCCTTCTGGGAATAGCGTTTTTTCTCTTGGCCAAAGGCTTCTAGGGCGGCCTAACTCCTTGAGATCACAGGGTAACAGCCTGAGGGAAGAGTCAAGAAAATGGCCAAGGAGAGTGGAAGGCATTCTGGGTGGGAACAGAGGTGACCAGAGGAGAAAACTGTAAAGAAAACCATGGCTGTTGTCACCTGGAAAAGGTATTGTCCACAAGCTTGCTTCCTTCCTCTGTGTCCCTGCCACTCATCAGGAGCCTCGTGGACTCGCTCCCATGATTACTGGCTAAAATTCTCTTCTCTTCTCTTCTCTTCTCTTCTCTTCTCTTCTCTTCTCTCCTCTCCTCTCCTCTCCTCTCCTCTCCTCTCTTCCCCTCCCCTCTCCTCCCCTCCCCTCCCCTCCCCTCCCCTCCCCTACACTGTTTTTCTAACACTAATTTTCCAATATTCCCATGAGGGAACCCTCAGCCCAGACCCCGCCCCCCCCAAAAAAAAAACCAAAAAAAAAAAAAAAAACCAAGCTCATTCTCTGACACTCAGAGAGGAATTTTAGGAAGCCCAAGTTCAATTTTCATAAGCTTTATCTGACCTAGGCATGGCGGCTCACACCTGTAATCCTGGCATCTGAGAGGCTGCGACAGGAAGATCATTAGTTCACGGCCAGCTGGGACCACATAGAGAGAACCATCTCAACAAATAAGCAAACACAGCTGAAAAGCTTAAGCCGATGTTGGAGCCCATTTACGGGAATCCATGGGTTGTGAAAGAACATTACTGTAAGCATCCTCTTTCAAAGCAGACCCTCTTGGAAGATGAGACGTGGTTACAGTGGGCCTCCTGGTACACTGCCGTGGTTTCTAGGGACCAACGCAGAGAAGCAAAGACCAGCTCTATGCTTACTCTTGTACCACAAATACGGACACCAATAAACTGTTAAGAAGCAGCACCCAGTGGCTGGTGGAACAGAGCTCAGGGGCAGCTTGCTTTCTGGTGACAGCTACCTACCAGGATATTAAAGGGCGATACAGATACAAGCAGGAAGAAAGAGAAAAGGCCTCTCTGTAGTCAGGAAAACAATTCAAAGTTGGGAGGAAGAGGGGCCGAGGGACCCACTTTCATCACCAGGAGCTCCGAGTCCTCCACCCAACTGCAGCAGTTACGCCTGAGGCCCAGATGAGAAGCCATTCCCTGAGTTATCTACTGCTTCCTCTGTAAAGCCAAGGGGGTGAAACAATATGGCGCCCAGGGGTCCGCTCAGCTCCCAGGCTCGGCTCGCCCTTCCCTAGACAGTCCGGTTTTCAACTGTCTTTACTGGTCCACCTAATCGCTTCTGAAAGAGCAATGTGTACCCACTTTAATCTTGCAAAAAAAAAATGACCCCTGAAGCTCTTTACAGGTTCTCTCTTGCATTTATGAAGGTCAGCAACCTCCATTCCCAGGAGGGATACTCTCATGGCCTGAGAAGTTCACCTCACTGGCCTTGGTACAGCCCCAGAAGCCCTGCAATGTGTGAGACAAGAAAGCCACACTTCATTATGTGACCTAGGTTGTTGCTGCTCCAGCCCAGACTCCAAAATGAGGTTCGTATTTCCACTGTCCACAATGATTACCCATGGCCTCTTAGTTAACAAAATGAGAATTTATTAAAATTTCAGTTCTAATAAATAGTCAGTTGCCTCTACAACAGGCTCCAAGCCCTGGTGAGATGACAGTCTGTGTAGCCATTCAAAGAGGACATGTTAACTAAGCTCTGGGCTCTAGTTACACAGGGAGCTGCTCTCCTCCCTTGACTCACTGCTGTCACCCTGCTGCGCCTTAATGTCTCGAAGATGAATTAATTTTCTTATCGCATAAGATCCCAAAGATACATTAGCCAAACAGGAAACAAAACAAACCAAAGAAAACAATAAACCAAAGACTCCCAAACCGAGAAGCGGGTATAAAGAGAAGATTTGATGCTTTTCCCCATCTATGGAACCAACAACAAATATGCTTGGGAGGCCCAGATTGGGGCTGGTGAAGTGGTGAACTCAGCCATTCACAGTTTCATGCTAGAATTTAGGCTCTTCAGGGCTTTGCTTCCCAAGTGACGGCCCATCATGGGGAAATTAAAGCTGGAGGGAAACCCGTCTCCGGCAGACAATTAAAACTCTGGGGGATGGTGAGGACCTCAGCAATATAAAACTTGGAATTCAAGAGTAAAATAAGAGGCAGGCAAGGAGGCTCCAGTTCCTAACCTTGAGAGGTTGCTGTTGCCTGAGGCCAAGATCAGATTTCAAAAGCTGGACTTGAGAAGCGGATAGCAACAGCCAGGGACACAGCTGAGCTCACTGGGGGCGTGACAGTGTCTTGTCCTCCACCTGCCCCTGGGTCTCTTCATCTAGTAGCTACTCCTGGTTCCTACCTATCTCCGCTTGTCTCTGCCAACCTGTTATTCATTACTGCAAAGGCTCCCACACCCCCTGAGAACTCATCATCCCTGGAGGATGAATTGGACGGGTGGGGTCCACCATTGGCCATCTCGGACAACTGCTTCTGCAGGATAGCCAGTGAGACCTTGTTGGTGTCCTTCATGGAGATCATCTCCCCTGAGAGACGTCGCCCATCCGTGTCACTCTCCATCATCCCATCCGTTTCTATGGAGATGTTGCACCTGTTCCGGATGTTGCCGGGCATCACCATATTCCTCCTGGACCGCAGGAGTCCTCTCTGACACTGTGGGAAGTACCCACTATCCAGTTTCCTCAGGATCCAGTTCACAGTCTGTTTGATCAGGATGGAGATGACATTAAACAGGGAGTAGATACAGCAGACACCCATGAGGATGAAGAAGAAGTTGGCGAAGCGGTAGAGTCCCTGGCTCTCGTACTGAGCATTCTGGCTGCTGACCAGGTCCCCAAAGCCAATGGTACTGAAAGCGACAAAACAGAAGTAGAGAGAGTCAAAGTAGCTCCAGCCTTCCATGGTGGCGTACAGAGCCGAGGCTCCACAAGAGATGGCCACGGATGCCAAACATAGGATCAGCATGACATAGTACACAGAGGGCTTCCAGCCAGCCAGGCTGTCGGCTTCACGCTTCTCAGGGGCCTTCATGTTGTCCTGGGTCACTACCCCACGTCTCCGCAGCTGCTGCTGGTGACAGGATCTCATGACGTAGGCAATGACTGTGATCAGCCGCTCGAGGAAGAGGTTGAAGAAGAGGATGGTGCTTGCACATCCAATGAGACCGTAGAAGATCAGAAAGACCTTCCCTCCTATTGTGGCTGGTGTTGTCATCCCAAACCCTGACGAAGACAAAAAGCAGAGGAGACAAGAGTGAGCGAGCGGTTGGCTGAGAGTGGGGTTGGTGGATGGGCTTGCAGGCTGCTGAAGGGCTGGAAAAAATGGTGTTTTAAAATCTCTTAGCCCCAGCCTTTCTCGGAAAGCAGAGAACCCCCATCTCCACTGGAAGGTTGTTGTTCGGCCTAGAGCCGCCTGATTCAGGCCCATATGGTGCTATTGTGCAAGGCAGGAAAAGGCTCCTCTTCTCTGAGTGGATCCTGCCAGGAAAAAAAGGGTTAGAGACGAGGATATGACTAGATTTTAGCCTCCTGCCCTCCTTTTGTTGAATGTCCCTTGTACACGAAGGAACATGAGCAGCCACAATCAACTGACCTTGCTCAGAGATACAAAGACTCCTACAAAAATAAAGGCTTATGCAGACTCAAAAAATTCATACATTTTAATAACAGAACTGGGAAAAAAACAGAGCTCTTGTCTCCCTGGATCTCTGGTTCTGCAAGACAAATGGTATAGTGTGTGTTAAGTAAGGTGGTACAGGGTTAGACTTAGGGTTCCAGGAAGATTACACAGAAGGTCCTTGAAACCAAGGAGGCACTGTACAGGCAGACAGTACATACGAATAGTGATGGCAGTTCCTTTTCTCCTTTCTCTTGTTTGTATGTGCAAGTATGTAATAAGTGTGTGTGTGTGTGTGTGTGTGCACTTGCATGTGTGTTCATATGCATTTGGGGACCCGAAGTTGATGTTGGGTATCTTCCTAAACTGCATCCCACTTGACTTATTAAAGCAGGATCTTCGACAGAAACTGGAGCTCACTGATTGCTGTCAGGTTAGCCGGTCAGCTTGCCCTGGGGATGCCCAGTCTCCCCTCCTGAGTGCTGGGATACAGGCAGTTGCCATGCCTACCCGACCTTTTCATGAACTCTGAGGATCTAAACTCTGGTCCTCATACATTTTCCTTTATTTTCAAGTTCAGCTCTCTCATCGTCCTTTGCTTGTAAATCCCGAAAGCCCGTCACTTTTCTTGTTGCTATGGGTCAACCAGTGGCTGCCTGTCATAGGTTCCCCTGGGAAATGGTTAGATGAGATCTTTGGATGTGTGGGTTTTGGGGGTTATGAGCTCATGGTAATGAAGTCAAGGGACCACTTTTCCAAGGTACCTGATCTATGCATTCATAACTACTCAATTATCCAACTAAAGTCACAGTTCTCAGCATGCTTGGTTCTCAGCTATGTCTAATTGGGAAACTAAAGGCCTCAAGTCAAGATAATGAAAGAAAACATTGAGTTTTGCTTCTAGAAAAATAGGATATAGAGGAATAGATGGGATAAGAGTAAGGAAGAAATGAGGGGCAGGGAAAAATGGAATGGAGATTTTGAGGGCTAGGACCCTTAATGGTGGAGAAAAAAAATCAGAATATCATCTCTCCTTGCTTTAAAAACCCAAGCCCCCTCAGTCACCTTGCAGTGGAGGAGCTTATGTATCTCCATCATGGAAAGAAATGGTTAGGATATTCATTTGTATCCCAAGTTCAGATGAGGTGGTTAGAGCTGTAGAGACTTGAGTTTGAAGAGTTAAGTGCACCGAGTTTAACAAGTAGGTTTCAAACAATGTTGTGTTCTATTCAGTGCAAAAGAACACCACCGAGTCACCAGTGTGTCAGGGAATTAGCTCCCCATGGTTGGAGGAATTTGGCGCTACTCTGATGGCCTCAGTGGAGTCCCTGAACCAGGAGAGCTTGTGACTGCTCCCCGTGGAAGACAGAAAGCAGATGACTGAGCCCATGCAGTATGTGTTCATGTTCCTGTCATGATAGGAGTAGTTTATCATCCCAAATTCCCATGCTGATTTTCACCCACAAAGTGATGGTTTTTGAAGATGAACCTTTGTGAGGTAATTAGCCTATGGGGGTAGGACCTTCTGGGAGGGCATACGAGTCCTTGAAAATGATACCTTGGGGGCTGGAGATGTGACTTAGTTGGTAGGGTGCTTGTCTGATAAGCTAGGCATGGTAACAGGTTCCTGAAATCCAGCATGTAGGAGATGGAGCCAGGAGGGCCAAATATCTTAGATAAACACGGGAGTTCAAAGGCAGCCAGGTCTAGACAACAGCAACCACACAAAAGACAGCCCAGAGAACGTCATCCTTTCTGCCATGTGAGAACACAGCAAAGATTCTATGAGAGACTTGACTTTGAACTTTCAGAACTGTGAGCAATCTATTTCTCTGTTTTAGAAGCCAGCCTGGGGCATTTGTTACAGCACCCAGAATGAATTAAGACAAGCCATCTAAGATGACTCAGACAAGCTCCTTGTGAGTACCTTATGAGAAATAATGTCTATTACTTGCTTATGAGGTCAAGAGACATCTCAATTCTTCCGTTGAAGGGCATCTAGGTTGTTTCCAGGTTCTGGCTATTACAAACAATGCTGCCATGAACATAGTGGAGCATATACTTTTGTTGTATGATAAGGCCTCTCTTGGGTATATTCCCAAGAGTGGTATTGCTGGATCCAGGGGTAGGTTGATCCCGAATTTCCTGAGAAACCGAAACACTGCTTTCCAGAGTGGTTGCACAAGTTTGCATTCCCACCAGCAATGGGTGAGTGTACCCCTTTCTCCACAACCTCTCCAGCAAAGGCTATCATTGGTGTTTTTTATTTTAGCCATTCTGACAGGTGTAAGGTGGTATCTTAAAGTTGTCTTGATTTGCATTTCCCTGAGGGGTGCATCCACACACTAAGACAATGGGGATGTTCTATTGGGATCTCACCAAGGCCAGCTGGCCTAGGGCTGAAAAAGCATGGGATAAATCCGGACTAGCTGAACATAGCGGACAATGAGGAATACTGAGAATTCAAGAACAATTGCAGTGGGTTTTTGATCCTACTGCACGTACTGGCTTTGTGGGAGCCTAGGCAGTTTGGATGCTCACCTTACGAGACCTGGATAGAGGTGGGCAGTCCTTGGGCTTCCCACAGGTCAGGGAACCCTGATTGCTCTTCAAGCAGATGAGGGAGGGGGACTTGATCGGGGGAGGGGGAGGGAAATGGGAAGCGGTTGCGGGGAGGAGGCAGAAATCCTTAATAAATAAATAAATTTAAATAAAAATTAAAAAAAAGAGACATCTCAAAATATGATCCTGCTTACAAGGTCCCAATGACAAACCAGATTATGATCCCACTGAACTTCAACCCAGGGAATCAGAAAGTTGACTGAGCTTACCTAAAGCACACAGGGTGAGGGGTTGCTTACACCAGAGTGGAAAGTCTTCACCCAGCCTGGGTGATGGTCTTCCCATAGCCACATCAATGGAGTCCTCAGTTACCTTCCCCAGCCTGGCCACTGGAGCACCTCCTGAGACTCCAAGGCCATAAGCAACTAGGGCGGAATTGCACACAAGTGGCTGAGAGGAAGTAGCGGCATCTCAGACAAGGTCCACGGATCCACTCCACCTCTCCTTCTCTGGGGAAGTTAGCTGTCACCAAGCTTCATGTGCTGGTCTCCTGCAAGCAGGCACGGTTGATCTAGGGAAAATGGTGACCCTTGACCTCAGAAGAGCCCACATCAAGGCTAGGACAAATGAGCTATTCACAAGAGAAACCATGATGGGACAAGGAGTAAATGCAAGCAGAGTTCTCTCACCATAGGGGATCTGAAGCCTCACTCCAGGCAATGTGACCCCAGCACTTTTGGGAACAGTGCAGTGACACTGAGAAGCTGGGGGGATTGGTTTTCCCCCAATGAACAAGGCTTTTAGCAACTCAGGGACTTGTTCCAAGAATTGAATGTTTCTGGATTCCATCTGTTGATTTGGTTTTAGAGGAGTTCTTAATTAAGGAAGAAATCGTTATGACTTTTGGTCATCTGCTGGGCTTACTAGATCACAGCCATCGCTTCAATTAGTCAAAGTAACAGAAAATGGTAAGAGCGGCAGCACTGTGGACAGCTGAGCACTGAAGGCTTGGGAAATAGCGCTGCGGGTAAAGTGTAGGATCTGAGCTCAACCCCAGAACCCGTGTATTAAAGACCTGGGTGCGGCATGTGACTGTAATCCCAGCACCAGGGAGGAGGACACAGGGGGGTCCCTGAGGCATCCTTGTTGGGCCAGCTGGTCTACCTGGTGATTTCCAGGTCCATTAGAGACCCTGTTCAAAAACCAATAGTGGATAACCCCAAGGAACAACACCCAAGGTTGATTCGTATACACACACACACACACACACACGCGCGCGCACACACACACCACACACTCAGCAAGATGTTGTCATTATGTTCTTGAACTCTTAGCATCCCTGGTTCTTAGTGCAAGGGCCACACAAGGTTAGGCCCATTAACATTCTGTCACAGTGGGGAAAGGCTCACGAGGCCCATCCCTTCCCAAATAAATACAATTAATGGTTGCCGGGGAAGAAGAGACGTTTTCTTTACTGGTATAGCCACTGAGAAGTTGCCCATGCTCCTGTAAGAAACCCTGAATTCAGGGGTCACGCTGCCCTGTCCAGGTTTTACCTACTGGCCTGAGTTGTAGACTGTTTAATTATCTGGAAGAAAGTTTGTCAATGTTTACACTGACCTGAAATAATAAATGTCCATAAATGTTCAAACAAAAGAGTGACGTGCACCGTGAATAAGAGCCCTCAGGGGTCTTCTTGGCAGAGGACAGGCTTCCTGCCTTGCCACCAAGGCCTTCGTCATGCTAGGCTGGCTCCACACATGGCGTCACGGGTTTGCATGGAATAAGTATGTCCCAGGGCCTTTCCAGAGAGCTCTCTCTTGCTGTCACTCCTTGCTGGTGGTCTGTGTCCCCTCGCCCCCCCGCTATTGGTGCTGTCACCACCCTTTGCTGACACTAGACTTCTTACCAGTCCAGTGTGAAAACACTGAATCTTCTGGGCATTTAGTACCAGGGTGGGACTTCTGAGGTAACCAGCTCTGCGTGTTCTCGTCTCTTCAGTGTGTAAACGGCCAGTGTTGAATGACCCAGGCGGTATCCTGTA